CTTTCCCAAAAACAATCAAAAAAACTTTAAAAAATCAGAAACAATTCACAACAACGAAACAATTAACAACATCAGAAACAATTCAAACCCGAAAAAAATCACAACAATCAGAAACAATTCACAAAAACCGAAAAAATTCACAACAATCAGAAAAAATTACAACAATCAAAAAACAATTCACAACAATCAGAAAAAATTTCACAACATGAAAAAATTTCACAACAACAGAAAAAATTTCAAAAACCCTCAAAAAAAAATTCAAACAATCAGAAACAATTCCAACACTCAGAAACAATTCACAACAACCAGAAACAACTCAAACATCAACCAATTCCAACAATCACAATCAATACGATTGTGGAGGTGACGAGGAAAAAAAAAAAAAAAAAAATAACGAGCTGGAAAAAAAGTCGAAAAACCCCCCCCACTGACCTTAATTCGTATATAAAAACATCCCAAAAAATAAATATATATAATGTGCCATTTTGTAATAAGAATATGCAAAAAAAAAAAAATTTTAAAAGATTGCCATTTTTTCGTAATTTTGGCCCTGGAGACTCTTTAATTGAGTGATGTCGGAAAGTCGGGGGGAGAAACCTGGTGTGTTGAGGAGAGAGATTTGGTCCACTAAAGGAGGGGGCAGTGGGGGTGAAGGGTTTATCAGTTATCTTGGCCAGTGGGGGGCCCAAAAACGGTTTTTTCCCCATAGAGACACCCAGGTGTTGCACGTGTTGAAGGTGTGCACGTGTTGCGCAGGTGTTCCGTGTTGCACAGGTGTTGCACCATCATTGTGCATGGGAAAAACTGGTGTACTGGAGACCAACTGGGCCCTGGAGGCCAACAGGGTGTACGGAGACCAACATGGGGTAGGAGCCAACATGTGTACTGGACACCAACATGTGTATGGAGACCAACTGGGACTGGAGCCCAACGGGGGGGTGTATGGAAAACCAACATGGTGTACGGAGGAAACATGGTGTATGGGCCAACTGGTGTATGGAGACAACATGGTGTACTGGAGACCAACATGGTGTACTGGAGCCAAATGGTGTAATGAGACCAAATGTTGAGGAGCCCAAACATGGTGTACTGGAGACCAACATGGTGTACTGGAGACCAACATGGTGTACTGGAGACCAACATGGTGTACTGGAGACCAACATGGTGTACTGGAGACCAACATGGTGTACTGGAGACCAACATGGTGTACTGGAGACCAACATGGTGTACTGGAGACCAACATGGTGTACTGGAGACCAACATGGTGTACTGGAGACCAACATGGTGTACTGGAGACCAACATGTTGTACTGGAGACTAACATGGTGTACTGGAGACCAACATGGTGTACTGGAGACCAACATGGTGTACTGGAGACCAACATGGTGTACTGGAGACCAACATGGTGTACGAGGACTCATGTGACTGGATGTGTGGGTAAGGTGTAACTAGACCACTGGTGTGGGAGACCAGCAATGTGTACTGGAGTTGGTGGTGAGGGAGCTACTGGTCGGGATAACTGGAGGACATGTCTGAAATGGTGTGGTGGTGACTAAAGGTGTACTGGGCCTGGTGTATGGTAGGAATGTTGTGGGTGGTACTATGGGTGTACTGGGCTGGTTAATCTGAGAAATGTTTGGAGTGGTGTACTGGAGGGCTATGGGCGGGTTAATTAGGAATGTGTGGGTGGTACTGAGGGTGTAGGGGGTTAATGTAGGAATGTTGTGGGTGGTACTGAGGGTGTATTGGCGGTTAATCTAGGAATGTCGTGGGTGGTACTGAGGGTGTAAGGGGGTTAATTAGGAATGTTGTGGGTGGTACTGAGGGTGTATTGGCGGGTTAATCTAGGAATGTCGTGGGTGTACTGAGGGTGTAGGGCGGGTTAATCTAGGAATGTGTGGGTGGTACTGAGGGTGTATGGGCGGGTTAATCTAGGAATGTTGTGGGTGGTACTGAGGGTGTATGGGCGGGTTAATCTAGGAATGTCGTGGGTGGTACTGAGGGTGTATGGCGGGTTAATTAGGAATGTTGTGGGTGGTACTGAGGGTGTAGGCGGGTTAATCTAGGAATGTTGTGGGTGGTACTGAGGGTGTAGGCGGGTTAATGTAGGAATGTTGTGGGTGGTACTGAGGGTGTATGGGCGGGTTAATCTAGGAATGTGTGGGTGGTACTGAGGGTGTATGGGCGGGTTAATCTAGGAATGTTGTGGGTGGTACTGAGGGTGTATGGGCGGGTTAATCTAGGAATGTTGTGGGTGGTACTGAGGGTGTAGGCGGGTTAATCTAGGAATGTGTGGGTGGTACTGAGGGTGTATGGGCGGGTTAATGTAGGAATGTTGTGGGTGGTACTGAGGGTGTATGGGCGGGTTAATCTAGGAATGTTGTGGGTGGTACTGAGGGTGTATGGGCGGGTTAATCTAGGAATGTTGTGGGTGGTACTGAGGGTGTATGGCGGGTTAATCTAGGAATGTTGTGGGTGGTACTGAGGGTGTATGGCGGGTTAATCTAGGAATGTGTGGGTGGTACTGAGGGTGTATGGGCGGGTTAATTAGGAATGTTGTGGGTGGTACTGAGGGTGTATGGGCGGGTTAATCTAGGAATGTTGTGGGTGGTACTGAGGGTGTATGGGCGGTTAATCTAGGAATGTTGTGGGTGGTACTGAGGGTGTATGGGCGGGTTAATCTAGGAATGTTGTGGGTGGTACTGAGGGTGTATGGGCGGGTTAATCTAGGAATGTTGTGGGTGGTACTGAGGGTGTAAGGCGGGTTAATGTAGGAATGTTGTGGGTGGTACTGAGGGTGTAAGGCGGGTTAATCTAGGAATGTTGTGGGTGGTACTGAGGGTGTAATGGGCGGGTTAATGTAGGAATGTTGTGGGTGGTACTGAGGGTGTAAGGCGGGTTAATCTAGGAATGTTGTGGGTGGTACTGAGGGTGTTTGGGCGGGTTAATCTAGGAATGTTGTGGGTGGTACTGAGGGTGTATGGGCGGGTTAATCTAGGAATGTTGTGGTGGTACTGAGGGTGTATGGGCGGGTTAATCTAGGAATGTTGTGGGTGGTACTGAGGGTGTATGGGCGGGTTAATCTAGGAATGTTGTGGGTGGTACTGAGGGTGTATGGGCGGGTTAATCTAGGAATGTTGTGGGTGGTACTGAGGGTGTATGGGCGGGTTAATGTAGGAATGTTGTGGGTGGTACTGAGGGTGTATGGGCGGGTTAATCTAGGAATGTTGTGGGTGGTACTGAGGGTGTATGGGCGGGTTAATCTAGGAATGTTTGTGGGTGGTACTGAGGGTGTATGGGCGGGTTAATGTAGGAATGTTGTGGGTGGTACTGAGGGTGTATGGGCGGGTTAATCTAGGAATGTTGTGGGTGGTACTGAGGGTGTATGGCGGGTTAATCTAGGAATGTTGTGGGTGGTACTGAGGGTGTAATGGGCGGGTTAATCTAGGAATGTTGTGGGTGGTACTGAGGGTGTTTGGGCGGGTTAATCTAGGAATGTTGTGGTGGTACTGAGGGTGTATGGGCGGGTTAATCTAGGAATGTTGTGGGTGGTACTGAGGGTGTTTGGGCGGGTTAATCTAGGAATGTTGTGGGTGGTACTGAGGGTGTATGGGCGGGTTAATCTAGGAATGTTGTGGGTGGTACTGAGGGTGTTTGGGCGGGTTAATCTAGGAATGTTGTGGGTGGTACTGAGGGTGTATGGGCGGGTTAATCTAGGAATGTTGTGGGTGGTACTGAGGGTGTAAGGCGGGTTAATCTAGGAATGTTGTGGGTGGTACTGAGGGTGTATGGGCGGTTAATCTAGGAATGTTGTGGGTGGTACTGAGGGTGTAAGGCGGGTTAATGTAGGAATGTTGTGGGTGGTACTGAGGGTGTAAGGCGGGTTAATGTAGGAATGTTGTGGGTGGTACTGAGGGTGTAAGGGCGGTTAATCTAGGAATGTTGTGGGTGGTACTGAGGGTGTAAGGCGGGTTAATCTAGGAATGTTGTGGGTGGTACTGAGGGTGTAAGGGCGGTTAATCTAGGAATGTTTGGTGGGGGTTGGTTACTGGAGGGTGGTACTGGGTAGGCGGGTTAATCTAGGAATGTTGTGGGTGGTACTGAGGGTGTATGGGCGGGTTAATCTAGGAATGTTTGGGTGGTACTGAGGGTGTAGGCGGGTTAATCTAGGAATGTTGTGGGTGGTACTGAGGGTGTAAGGCGGGTTAATTAGGAATGTTGTGGTGGTACTGAGGGTGTAGGCGTGTTAATTAGGAATGTTGTGGGTGGTACTGAGGGTGTAGGGGCGGGTTAATGTAGGAATGTTGTGGGTGGTACTGAGGGTGTTTGGGCGGGTTAATCTAGGAATGTTGTGGTGGTACTGAGGGTGTTTGGGCGGGTTAATCTAGGAATGTTGTGGGTGGTACTGAGGGTGTAGGGGCGGGTTAATCTAGGAATGTTGTGGGTGGTACTGAGGGTGTTTGGCGGGTTAATCTACAAAATAAATTATTCATTATATATACAAATTTCCAACATTTAGTAATATATATATATATATATATATATATATATATATATATATATATATATATATATATATATATATATATATATGTCGTGCCGAATAGGTAAAACTGGTCAATTATCAAGAACTCATTTAAAATTAAGTCCTTTCTAAAATTTTCTCTTATACGGTTAAAGATATATTTTTTCATTAATGTTAATGTAAAAATTTTTAATTTTGCACCAAAAGAATCTTAGAAAACTTACCTAACCTTATTATAACAAGAACAATTTATTTTAGCCTAACCCAACTAAATATATTTTAGATTTGCTTACAATAATTTAATACTAAACAAACACAGTGAAATATATTTTTTTCGTTAGGTTCAGAATTATTTTGGTGAAATTATTGCATACACAAATTTTCACTTGTCCTATATGGCAAGATGAACGTTGCTATTTAAGCCAAGATCGCAAGTTCTGCCTATTCGGCACGACATATATATAGGAAGAATTTACCGTTAGCAGCGGTAGTAGCGGCGATTACGGAAGCTACGGTCGAGCACAGTTTACAGTCCATCACACCTTCATTCACGGGCGTAGACGTGCAGTTGGTGGGCGTGAGACAGGCTACCACCCCCACCAGGTAGACAGTAGAGTGTTTCAGGTGAGTGAGAGTCAGGTGACGGGTGTAGGTACCTGCCTTCATCACGCTCCAGGCACCTGATTGGTGTACTTATCACGTATTAACAATGTGATTGGTTTCATTCTTAGGTTTCAAGTTTATGCGTCATTAAGGCCGACTTTCCCCACCGTTATTAACATACTCTGACACCTAACAACTCTCAGTACGTATACCTTGCAAGGTGGTAACTACAAGACAGTCATCAAGGCTGCACTTCATCTCATAACTAATATCTTAATTACCTCACTTAATAAATTAACAATTAATCAGTGTATACACCATGAGTTATATATATGTATATATATATGTTATATATATGTATATATATATGTTATATATATATATATATATATATATATATATATATATATATATATATATATATATATATATATATATATATATATATATATATGAATGTATAGGAGCCTTTGAACCAAGTGAGAGAGTAATTGTGGTAGGGGACTTGAATGCTAAAGTAGGAGAAACTTTTAGAGAGGGTGTGGTAGGTAAGTTTGGGGTGCCAGGTGTAAATGATAATGGGAGCCCTTTGATTGAACTTTGTATAGAAAGGGGTTTAGTTATAGGTAATACATATTTTAAGAAAAAGAGGATAAATAAGTATACAAGATATGATGTAGGGCAAAATGACAGTAGTTTGTTGGATTATGTATTGGTAATAAAAGACTGTTGAGTAGACTTCAGGATGTACATGTTTATAGAGGGGCCACAGATATATCAGATCACTTTCTAGTTGTAGCTACACTGAGAGTAAAAGGTAGATGGGATACAAGGAGAATAGAAGCATCAGGGAAGAGAGAGATGAAGGTTTATAAACTAAAAGAGAGGCAGTTAGGGAAAGATATAAACAGCTATTGGAGGATAGATGGGCTAATGAGAGCATAGGCAATGGGGTCGAAGAGGTATGGGGTAGGTTTAAAAATGTAGTGTTAGAGTGTTCAGCAGAAGTTTGTGGTTACAGGAAAGTGGGTGCAGGAGGGAAGAGGAGCGATTGGTGGAATGATGATGTAAAGAGAGTAGTAAGGGAGAAAAAGTTAGCATATGAGAAGTTTTTACAAAGTAGAAGTGATGCAAGGAGGGAAGAGTATATGGAGAAAAAGAGAGAGGTTAAGAGAGTGGTGAAGCAATGTAAAAAGAGAGCAAATGAGAGAGTGGGTGAGATGTTATCAACAAATTTTGTTGAAAATAAGAAAAAGTTTGGAGTGAGATTAACAAGTTAAGAAAGCCTAGAGAACAAATGGATTTGTCAGTTAAAAATAGGAGAGGAGAGTTATTAAATGGAGAGTTAGAGGTATTGGGAAGATGGAGGGAATATTTTGAGGAATTGTTAAATGTTGATGAAGATAGGGAAGCTGTGATTTCGTGTATAGGGCAATGAGGAATAACATCTTGTAGGAGTGAGGAAGAGCCAGTTGTGAGTGTGGGGGAAGTTCGTGAGGCAGTAGGTAAAATGAAAGGGGGTAAGGCAGCCGGGATTGATGGGATAAAGATAGAAATGTTAAAAGCAGGTGGGAATATAGTTTTGGAGTGGTTGGTGCAGTTATTTAATAAATGTATGGAAGAGGGTAAGGTACCTAGGGATTGGCAGAGAGCATGCATAGTTCCTTTGTATAAAGGCAAAGGGGATAAAAGAGAGTGCAAAAATTATAGGGGGATAAGTCTGTTGAGTATACCTGGCAAAGTGTATGGTAGAGTTATAATTGAAAGAATTAAAAGTAAGACGGAGAATAGGATAGCAGATGAACAAGGAGGCTTTAGGAAAGGTAGGGGGTGTGTGGACCAGGTGTTTACAGTGAAACATATAAGTGAACAGTATTTAAATAAGGCTAAAGAGGTCTTTGTGGCATTTATGGATTTGGAAAAGGCGTATGACAGGGTGGATAGGGGGGCAATGTGGCAGATGTTGCAGGTGTATGGTGTAGGAGGTATGTTACTGAAAGCAGTGAAGAGTTTTTACGAGGATAATGAGGCTCAAGTTAGAGTACATAGGAAATAGGGAAATTATTTCCCAGTAAAAGTAGGCCTTAGACAAGGATGTGTGATGTCACCGTGGTTGTTTAATATATTTATAGATGGGGTTGTAAGAGAAGTAAATGCGAGGGTCTTGACAAGAGGCGTGGAGTTAAAAGATAAAGAATCACACATAAAGTGGGAGTTGTCACAGTTGCTCTTTGCTGATGACACTGTGCTCTTGGGAGATTCTGAAGAGAAGTTGCAGAGATTGGTGGATGAATTTGGTAGGGTGTGCAAAAGAAGAAAATTAATACAGGAAAGAATAAGGTTATGAGGATAACAAAAATATTAGGTGATGAAAGATTGGATATCAGATTGGAGGGAGAGAGTATGGAGGAGGTGAATGTATTCAGATATTTGGGAGTGGACGTGTCAGCGGATGGGTCTATGAAGGATGAGGTGAATCATAGAATTGATGAGGGGAAAAGGGTGAGTGGTTCACTTAGGAGTCTGTGGAGACAAAGAACTTTGTCTTTGGAGGAAAAGAGGGGAATGTATGAGAGTATAGTTTTACCAACGCTCTTATATGGGTGTGAAGCATGGGTGATGAATGTTGCAGTGAGGAGAAGGCTGGAGGCAGTGGAGATGTCATGTCTGAGGGCAATGTGTGGTGTGAATATAATGCAGAGAATTCGTAGTTTGGAAGTTAGGAGGAGGTGCGGGATTACCAAAACTGTTGTCCAGAGGGCTGAGGAAGGGTTGTTGAGGTGGTTCGGACATGTAGAGAGAATGGAGCGAAACAGAATGACTTCAAGAGTGTATCAGTCTGTAGTGGAAGGAAGGCGGGGTAGGGGTCGGCCTAGGAAAGGTTGGAGGGAGGGGGTAAAGGAGGTTTTGTGTGCGAGGGGCTTGGACTTCCAGCAGGCATGCGTGAGCGTGTTTGATAGGAGTGAATGGAGACAAATGGTTTTTAATACTTGACGTGCTGTTGGAGTGTGAGCAAAGTAACATTTATGAAGGGGTTCAGGGAAACCGGCAGGCCGGACTTGAGTCCTGGAGATGGGAAGTACAGTGCCTGCACTCTGAAGGAGGGGTGTTAATGTTGCAGTTTAAAAACTGTAGTGTAAAGCACCCTTCTGGCAAGACAGTGATGGAGTGAATGATGGTGAAAGTTTTTCTTTTTCGGGCCACCCTGCCTTGGTGGGAATCGGTCAGTGTGATAATAATAATAATAATAAAATATATATATATATGTAATGTCGTGCCGAATAGGTAAAATTGGTCAATTAGCAAGAACTCAGAACGCATTTAAAATTAAGTTCTTTCTAAAATTTTCTCTTACACGTTTAAAGATATTTTTTTTTAAATTTATGTTAATGAAAAAATTAATAATTTTGTACCAAAAGAACCTTAGAAAACTTACCTAACTTTATTATAGCAAGCGAAATTTAGCCTAATCCGACTAAATATATTTTAGATAAGTTTACAATAATTTAATAATAAACAAACACAATGAAATATATTTTTTTCGTTAGGTTCAGAATGATTTTTGCGAAATTATTGCATACACAAATTTTCGCTTGTCCTATTTCGGCAAGAAGAACATTGCTATTTAAGCAAAATCGCAGATTTTACCTATTCGGCACGATATATATATATATATATATATATATTATATATATATATATATATATATGTATATATAAATATATAATATATATATATATATATATATATATATATATAATTTATATATATTTATATATATATATAATAATAGAATGTATAAGTGGCGGAGAAGAGTTTCACAGTATTAATAGAGAAGGAAACTCTTAGTTTATAATTTATTTAATGTGAGAGTGAAGAAAGATGGGTCTTCTCTCTGGGAGTTGTGGTGGGTTGTTTGGGGTTGTGGGTGTTGTGGTGGGGTGGGTTTTGGTGGGTTGTGGTGGGTTGTGGGGTGTTGTGGTGGGTTGTGGTGGGTTGTAGTGGGTTGTGAGGTGTTTTGGTGGGTTGTGGGGTGTTGTGGTGGGTTGTCTTACCGTCGTCATGATGAGGTTGATGTTGCAGTTGGAAAATTCGGGAGTCATGAAGCTGGTACCTTCCCGTCAACCTTGTTGTACCCTGGCTGCTGCTGTATACACACACACACACACACACACACACACACACACACACACACACACACACACACACACACACACACACACACACACACACACACACACGTATTAAAAACAAAGTTAATTCTGACTGTAACATCGACTATATCTCGTCAAGATAATATCACTGAAACAAGCAAGAATATATTTCTTCTAGTCAAGATATATATCAGGGATAGGCAAGTATTTTTGACTAGGGGGCGATGCCCCCCTTAGTTTAGCCTGCTTAGAAGAGCTAAATAACAAAGTAAATGAGTAACTTAGATATATGTAGGGTTGTCTGATGGTTGGTCAGTGAGGTTTCAAGCCTATCGGCTACGTGAGGGTCATTAAGGCTGTGTCACCTGTACACCACCAGTCAAGAGTACTGTAATACCTTAAAATGGGCTTTAATATCTGTGTACATACACTGAGAGGCGTACACCCCTCGGTGTACATACACTGAGAGGCGTACACCCCTCGGTGTACATACACTGAGAGGCGTACACCCCTCGGTGTACATACACTGAGTGGTGTACACCCCTCGGTGTACATACACTGAGAGGCGTACACCCCTCGGTGTACATACACTGAGAGGTACACCCCTCGGTGTACATACACTGAGAGCGTACACCCCTCGGTGTACGTACACTGAGAGGCGTACACCCCTCGGTGTACATACACTGAGAGGCGCACACCCCTCGTTGTACATACACTGAGTGTGTACACCCCTCGGTGTACATACACTGAGTGGTACACCCCTCGGTGTACATACACTGAGAGGCGTACACCCTCGGTGTACATACACTGAGAGACGTACACCCCTCGGTGTACATACACTGAGAGACGTACACCCCTCGGTGTACATACACTGAGAGGCGTACACCCCTCGGTGTACGTACACTGAGAGGCGCACACCCCTCGGTGTACATACACTGAGAGGCGCACACCCCTCGGTGTACATACACTGAGAGGCGTACACCCCTCGGTGTACATACACTGAGAGACGTACACCCCTCGGTGTACATACCTTCCAGGCAGGTGAGACGGCTACCTCCTGAGCCATAAGGGACGAGGAACTTTGAGAAATACACCTCTGGGTGTATTTCTCTCAGCGTATGTATACTGATAATTTACTCTCATCCGTATTTTTGGGTTGAAAGTATTTTTGCCATAATCCAGCCAACTAGTCAAAGAAATATCTGTGTGTTTCTAAAAACAGGTGCTGTTGCAGGTGTTGCTCCTACGACTGCCCAACACCTGCTCTTCAAAGTGAATTTTTAAACTTAGAGTTGGATAATGTTGAGGACTTAGACACATGTGCAACACCTGTGTGTCTTTATCTGAAGACGTTTCGCCCAGCAGTGGCCCTTTTTGTCTGGTAGTTTTAGGCAGGGATGGTAAACGTAGATAGTGGAAGGTGAGTCAGTCAGTTTGTCAGTCTTGCAGAAATATACACAGAAGACAGTGGAATGTGAGGTAATCAGTCCCCTCAGTGCAAGACTGAGGAACTACCTCACCTTCCACTATCTACGTATATCATCTCTGTATTAAGCTGAAAAAACACTGGTGGGCGAAACGTCTTCAGATAAAGATACCCAGGTGTTCAACATATGTATAATGTCCCATCATCTAGGTAGTGGACAGCATAGAATTCTATGACGGGGGAAACGTGCCCCCACGGGCTACGTTTCGCCCACCTCTAGCTTACACTGTTGATTAAATAAAAAGAGTAAAACCTGGAGGAGTATAAATTACTTGCTGGAGTTGGCCGGCTGATAGATGGCATAGTACTGATGTAGGGGCACCAGCTGTGGGTAATTACCACCTCCTGTGAGCGATGTTTGGAACAGCTGGTCGAAGTTCTCCTGGGAGTTCCTCCCGGCTAGGAGGGCTTGAGCACCGTCCTCGCTACCTGGGCGGTGCTGAGGGCTACTAGGTGCTAGGCTATCCATCGCCCAGCCAGGGAAGGCTCGATGCCTAGCATTGGCTAGGCTGGCAGTAAGAAAAAACACCGATATATATATATATATAATATATATATTATATATATATAATATATATATATATATATTTACAGTGGACCCCCGCATAACGATTACCTCCGAATGCGACCAATTATGTAAGTGTATTTATGTAAGTGCGTTTGTACATGTATGTTTGGGGGTCTGAAATGGACTAATCTACTTCACAATATTTCTTATGGGAACAAATTCGGTCAGTACTGGCACCTGACATACTTCTGGAGTGAAAAAATATCGTTAACCGGGGGTCCACTGTATATATATATACACTACTATTACTACTACTATTACCACTATTACTACTGTTGCTATACTACTATTACTATTTCTACTACTACTACAACTAATAATAATAATAATAATAATAATAATAATAATAATAGGCATAGAAAAAGTTTCACCTCGCAGTGTTGACGTCTTGGAGCAGAATTTCCTCGAAGTCAGTAACTTCGACGTCCTCCTGCTGGTTGTCGGAGCAGGCGCAGCAGGTGAGGCTGGAGGTCTTCTTACACACCTTCTCCTCCTCTTCCTTTTCCTCGCCCTCCTCCTCTTCCTCGGCTTCCTCCAGCCTCCCGAAAGCTTCCTCTGACGACGTTTCTCTTCTCTGTTTTTCCTGCCATATTCTGCTGAGGCTTTTCTGTGCTACAAGAGACAGGCAGAACGTTTCGCGCTAATTACAAGTTTAATAGAATTTGTACTTAGAGTGAAACGTTCTCTAAAGACACGTTTGACGCGCATGTTTGTACATACTCTAGTGATGCATGAGAGTAAGTCACCATACAGTGACTGGAACAGTTTCCAACTATGTTACAGTGACTGGAAGAGTTCACAACTATCATACAGTGACTGGAACAGTTTCCAACTATGTTACAGTGACTGGAAGAGTTCACAACTATGCTACAGTGACTAGAACAGTTCACAACTATGCTACAGTGACTGGAACAATTCACAACTATAGGTTTAATCCCCCAGGAGGGCCCATACATGCCCCCCTGGGCACTCACCATGGGTGCTGCATAGATCTGGGTAGGGTGGGTGGGCGTGGGCGTCTGGAAGCATGAGGGCGGCCACCATATAGTGGTCCACGTGTCCATGTGGGCGACGGGGCGGCTCCCACCACACCTCCAGGGTGGAGCTGCTTCTGGATGCCCAGTTTACGCCCACGGGCGGGCTGGGATCTGTGGGCGGCGAGAGTTAAAAGAGAGAGATGGAAGAGCCAGGAAACTTCTGACAGGTGTTGATAGTTAATGTGACAGGTATTGACAATTAATGTGATAGGTATTGACAGTTAATGTGACAGGCGTTGACAGCTAATGTAACAGTTTCTGACAGGTGTTGACAGCTAATGTGACAGTTTCTGATAGGTGTTGACAGCTAGTGTGAGTTTCTGACAGGTGTTGACATCTAATGTGACAGTTTCTGACAGGTGTTGATAGTTAATGTCAGAAGTATTGACAAGAACAAGGAGAGAACAAGAACAAGACAAGAACATAATAAGAACAAGAATAAGACAGACTTTACTGTCACTGAGAGGGACTTACTGAAGTTTCTGAGAGGGACTTACTGAAGTTTCTGAGAGGGACTTACTGAAGTTTCTGAGAGGGACTTACTGAAGTTTCTGAGAGGGACTTACTGAAGTTTCTGAGAGGGACTTACTGAAGTTCTGAAGGACTACTGAAGTTTGAGAGGCTTACGAATTTCTGAAGGGACTTATGAAATTCTGAGAGGGACTTACTGAAGTTTCTGAGGGACTTATAGAGTTCTGAGAGATTACTGAGTTCTGAGAGGGACTTACTGAAGTTTCTGAGAGGCACTTACTGAAGTGGTAGAGTACACGATAGACTTGTTCTGAGAGGGACTTACTGAAGTCACTGGTGGGAAGTACAAGATAGACTGGTTCTGAGAGGGACTTACTGAAGTCACTGGTGGTGGAGTACAAGATAGACTGGTTCTGAGAGGGACTTACTGAAGTCACTGGTGGTGAGTACAAGATAGACTGGTTCTGAGAGGGACTTACTGAAGTCACGGTGGTGGAGGTCAGTAGAGGTTCTAGTAGGGATTACGAAGTCATGGTGTGTGGGAGTACAGAACTGTTCTGAAAGGACTACTGAGTCACTGGTGTGGAGTACAAGATAACTGGTCTGAGAGGACCTACTGAAGTCATGGGGTGGAGTACAATGCATAGCTGTTCGAGAGGTGACATACTGAAGTCATGGTGTTATACAATAGATGGTTTGAAGGACTACTGATCATGGTGGTAATGATTACAAAGAGACTGTTCTGATGAGGGACTTTGAAATCACTGGTGGTAGAGCAAGAAGACTGGTTCTGAGGGACTTATGATAGTCACTGGTGGTTTGAGTACAAGATGGAGGTTCTGAAGGACTTACTGATGTCATGGGTTTGAGTACAAGACTGGTTCTGAGGGACTTATGAATCACGTGGTAGAGTCAAGATAATGGTTCATGAAGGACTTACTGAAATCCATGGGGTTAGATACAAATAATGGATTCTGAAGGACTTCTGAAGTCACTGTGAGAGTAAAGATAGGGTTTTGAGAGATTCAATGAAGTGCATGTGGTAGGAGTACAAGAAGACTGGTTCAGAGGACTTACTGAAGTCACTGTGGTAGAGACAAATAGACGGTTCTGAAAGGACTACTGAAGTCATGTGGTAGATACAAGATAGACTGGTTCTGAGAGGGACTTATGAAGTCACTGGTGGGAGTACAAGAAGACTGGTCTGAGAGGACTTATGAAGTACTGTGGAGAGTACAAGATAGATGTTCTGAGAGGCTTCTGAAATCACTGGTAGTGGAGTCAAGATGACTGGGTTTGAGGGACTTACTGAGTCGCACTGTGTAGTACAAGATGATGTGAGAGGGACTTACGAATCACTGGTGGAGTACAGATGACTGGTTCTGAGAGGACTAAGTGAAATCACTGGTAGTGAGTACAAGATAGGACTGATCCCTCCGGCGGTAGAGGAGTGGTCCTCACCGTAGAGTGCGTAGCTGGTGTTGGGAGTTTAGACTCCAACCTCCACCTCCAGCTCTCCTCCTGGACATCACCTCCATCACTGCACTAAGAGGAGTGGATGAGTAATGCAGTGCTTTTTGGAGCTTGATCCTCATAGATTTTTTCTTCATAATGGAGTTTGATCCTCATAATGGAGAATGATCATCCATAATGGAGATTGTCTCATGATGAGTTTGATCCTCCATGTAGAGTTTGATCTCCATGATGGAGTTGAAACTCCTGATGGAGTTTTTGGTCCTCCATGATGGAGTTTGATCCTCCATGATGGAGTTTGATCCTCCATGATGGAATTTGATCCTCCATAATGGAGTTTGATCCTCCATAAGGGAGTCTTGATCCTCTATAATGGAATCTAGATCCTCCATAATGAAGGATTGTGGGTTAGTTGAGAATTATTCCAATTAATGCATTGTAGGTTAAAAGGAAATAGGGTCGAGCCCTCACACGGAGAGAAATAGAGAGAAAGAGATAGATAGATAGATAGAGAGAGAGAGAGAGAGAGAGAGAGAGAGAGAGAGAGAGAGAGAGAGAGAGAGAGAGAGAGAGAGAGACAGAGAGAGAAAGAGAGAGTGTCTCACCCTTCTGCAGCAGAACATGGGTCCTGCTGGAGGGTGACGTTGTGGGTTGTCTGCCTATACTTGATGTAGAGAGCGCCCACGGTGCCCATCAGGTGGGCAGGCAGGGCATCAATGGTGACAATCAGGGTACCATAGATGGGTGACGCCCTCACGCCCACGCTCAGAGAAGTTACCTCACCTAAATGATAATTATTATTATTATTTATGATTATTATTAATGATTATTGTTAGTTATAATAATTATCATTGTTTTCATCCTCCACAGATTTTTTATTTAAATTTGAAAGGCCTATAAGGTCGATAACTGATCAACAGCATAAAAAAATAGGTCTTAGGCCTATCTAAGAGTTAGATTAAAGACTAGATGAATTTGGATATTTAAAAACTTAGAAAATGGCTCAATGGCGCCATTAAACATAGGCTAGTAGGCCTACAGGGCCATGCTAGGCAGGTTTAACTCCCACTCACGAATCTGTCTAACACCAAAGTTGAATGATGGTTATTTACAACTCTATTGCCAAAGATGCTTACACAGTCCCTCCTGTCCGTTGGCTCTAGATTCTTCGTCTAGAGGGTAGGCCGTAGACTGGGTAAGGTGGGAGACTAAGGTGTTGATCTGACGGAGGCACAGACGGGGGTTGGTCTGGAAAAGAATCTTGCCACGGTCTATAGTGAAGTTCCTGTCGGGACGGGTCCAGGAGGCGAGGCTCTGAAGGCGAGGGTTGTCCAGCACCACCAGCGAGTACCTGAAGGAGGGGTGGAACGTTCGTCAGGAGAGATGACCAGGTGAGTACCTGAAGGAGGGGTGGAACGTTCGTCAGGAGAGATGATCAGGTGAGTACCTGAAGGAGAGGTGGAACGTTCGTCAGGAGAGATGACCAGGTGAGTACCTGAAGGAGGGGTGGAACGTTCGTCAGGAGAGATGATCAGGTGAGTACCTGAAGGAGGGGTGGAACGTTCGTCAGGAGAGATGACCAGGTGAGTACCTGAAGGAGAGGTGGAACGTTCGTCAGGAGAGATGACCAGGTGAGTACCTGAAGGAGAGGTGGAACGTTCGTCAGGAGAGATGACCAGGTGAGTACCTGAAGGAGGGGTGGAACATTCGTCAGGAGAGATGACCAGGTGAGTACCTGAAGGAGGGGTGGAACGTTCGTCAGGAGAGATGACCAGGTGAGTACCTGAAGGAGAGGGGGAACGTTCGTCAGGAGAGATGACCAGGTGAGTACCTGAAGGAGGGTGGAACGTTCGTCAGGAGAGATGACCAGGTGAGTACCTGAAGGAGAGGTGGAACGTTCGTCAGGAGAGATGACCAGGTGAGTACCTGAAGGAGAGGTGGAACGTTCGTCAGGAGAGATGACCAGGTGAGTACCTGAAGGAGGGGTGGAACGTTCGTCAGGAGAGATGACCAGGTGAGTACCTGAAGGAGAGGTGGAACGTTCGTCAGGAGAGATGACCAGGTGAGTACCTGAAGGAGGGGTGGAACATTCGTCAGGAGAGATGACTCAGTGAGTACCTGAAGGAGGGTTTGGGTTTGAGAAGGACGAACCTGGTATGGGCCAGTAGGCCTGCTGTAGTGTTCCTCCCTTCTTACGTTCTTATGTGTTGCACCTCTGTCACACCATATGGTATTGTAAGTATGGTATGCTTACATATATACTTACTGGTTATACTTGAGGGACTCTCCACGAATTCTGGTGAGGTTGGGCAGGATGCTGGTGGAGGTGAGGTTGGTCTTGAAGATCCGAAGGTAACCTCTAACCTCTTCTATGTTACTCAGTAGTATCCCTATCTCAGCCTCCACGTTCA